TCATACAAGTATGGAAAGATAGTAGTGATAACAGTGCATTCGGTTCATGGGCTGCTTACTTGAATGAAGCAGCGAACGAAGGTTACAATGTAATATTGTCGAGTCCTTGGTACATCAATTACATTAGTTATGGAAAGTACAATACAAATACGTCGGTGATGAATTTAGAGTTTTTCAAATACTATGAGGTTGAACCACTGCGTGGCTTCACAGGTTCGGATGAAGCGAAGAAACGAATTCTTGGTGGAGAAGCTTGTTTATGGGCTGAATTCGTCGATGGTACAAATCTGTTAGCACGTTTGTGGCCTAAAGCATCTGCTGTAGCCGAGCGACTGTGGAGTGCTGCAAGTGTGAATAATTCTGAAGATGCTCAATTTCGATTGGTATAATTCTCTCTCTGTAATTTTGAATCGTGATAAATTAATTTTCTCATTGTAGGACGTTCATCGATGTCGTCTTTTAAGGTGAGTATGAAAAATGAGGTGGAATGAATCAGTCATTTTTCTTTTATCGGTTATATAGACGAGGAATTCCTGCTCAACCAATTTTGAATGGTTATTGTGGAAACTATGAAGTAGGTATGGCAAGATCGATGGTGAACGATCCAGCTTTCAACTATGAAGATGGTTCTCCAACGGAGTCGACAACAATCGACCCTTCAGCATTTGCATTGAGAATTGGGAATTCTAAAATCTATTACGTACTCTATATAATTTCATTTATATTCTTTGTATTGGGGTTGTGAGAAAAAGACAATAACATGATTTTTTGAGTAAAGGGTGTTTTTTGTTTTTCTTAATGTTCTGTATTAGATTCATGCATCCTCTTTTTCATGTGCTGTTATTTTATGATTATTTGTTTCACAGGGAACCAAATGTTTGGAAGATATGTGTGTAGTTGTAATCATCATAGGAAAACAATTATGATTCATCGGAATTAGAAAGCGTTTATCAACATATTTTATAATGAATGCAATATAGATAGTAGGCATAAGAATTCAAAAGTACTCGTATAAATTCTGATAATCAAATTGATTTTTTGTATATGTAGTAGAATTTGAAAAAAAAACTATGGCTTATTCTCGTTCGTGAAAATATTTCATTTGTGACGAATGAACTCGTTTCATGTTATCATGAACATCAATCACATCAAATGTTTGGGAACCTAGTTGTTTGATGATAGTGTACGGTCCTTCATATAATTCTTTAAATGCTGGATACATTCCAGGTTTAATAATGAAGAGTTTTTGTCCGATCATACATTGTATGTTCGGTCGATTTCGATCATATCGACGCTTGGAGTATTGTTGCTGTTGGCGAATATTTTTATTTACTTGATCCATATAAACCTTTTCAAATCGAAGGAAATGATTCCAATAATCATTAGCTCTTGGAATAGTGCCTTGTTTTTTTATTGGATCAAAAATAGAAGTTGGTTTCCTCTTATGAAAATTTTGAAATGTTGGAAATTGTATGATTTGATGAATCGAGCTGTTGTAAGATGACACAATGGTATTAATGTAGACATCCCAATCATCGTAATGTTCATTTGTATATTTACTGAGTTGTTGTTTAAATTTTGCATTAAACCGTTCAATCACTGCTTGTGATTTCGGGTGATACGGTGTTGTAACTGTATGAACACAACATAGTCGGTTGGCAACTGCTTCGAAGATTGCAGATGTAAAATGTGAACCACGATCTGTCTGTAGTTGACGAGGAGGATCGAATTCCAAAGTCATATCGATGAGAAATTCAGCCGCTGTTTGTGTCGAATCATTAGGAACAGCTTTGCTGATGACATATTTTGAAAGATAAACTGGTAAAGCGATTACATATAGATTTCCATTTATCGATTGTGGAAGTGGTCCTGTGAAATCCTTTTGTACTAAATCAAATACTTCACCTGGTGGTTCAATAAGTTGTATTTGTCCTGGAGGTTTTTCTCGTCGAATATTGTAATGTGCGCAAGCTGTACACGATTGAATATAGTGAATCACACCTTGACGAATTGTTGGCCAAGAACATCGATCATTAAGCCGCTTCCAGGTCTTTTCCTCCCAAAATGTCCAGCTGTTGGATGATCATGAAAGGAATGAAGAATTTCATTTCTTAATGAATTGGGGATAATTGAGACGTATTTCCCATTTCTTAATTGTATCCTTAGAATTTCGTTTATCATTAAATAGTGGATATTAGGTTTATTATTAAGTTCACGAATCATGGATTGAATATCAGGATCATTATGTTGTTCATGCTTTAATCCATAAGGATCAAGAGGTGATAATTGTTTTGAATAAAACTATACTGACGATGTATTCGATGAGGTAGTTGCTGGAATATCTTATATTGTAGTAGTTTGTTGTTTTGTTTTTGATCTTGTCATTATAGCAGCATAGATACCATCTAATTCATCATTGGTTTCTTCATTATTGATTAGTGGATGGCGTGACATGTAATCAGCGTCACAATTTCGTGTTCCGGGTTTGTGTTTAATTTCAATAATATCATAATCTTGAAGTTGTAATTTCCAGTTATTCACTTTTCTATTTGTAGATGATCGATTCAAATGGATGTTTCGAGCTGGTTGTTGGCCCGTTTCGATGATAAATGATTCATCAGCGAGATAATCTCTCAATTTTGTTACTGACCATATGATACCAAGACATTCACGTTCAAATGTTGAATAGTTTCGTTCATATGAACTTAGTGTTCGATATATATATATACGATTGACTTGAGTCCGTCAGGTGTGTGTTGCTTTAAAGCACCAGCAATACCGAATTATGATGCATCTGTTGAAAGTACAAATGGAAACTTTTTCTTCGTGGTATTGTCGTATAGAGGAAAACGTAAAAAAACTGGTGGTGTAGTTAGTGCTGTTTTTAATGCATCCTATGTTATTTGTTCTCGTTCACCCCAATAAAACTTCATGTTGTTCTTTTGAAATGCTCGAAGAGGACGAGTTAATTCGGTAAAATTATGTGTAAATTTCCGATAAAAATTTGCCATTTGAAGAAATGAATATACCTGTTTTGCTGCTCTTGGGTTAGGAACCTGGACAATGGCATTGATGTTGGTATTAAGTGGTTTAAATCCTTTAGCATTTATTGTATGTCCAAGATAATCAATTTCAGATGGTACAAATGCACATTTTGGCGGATTGAACTGAAAGTTCGCTTGGTTTAATACTGATAAAACATTATTTAAATGTGTACAATGATCATGAAAGGACTTTGAGAATATTATTATATCGTCCGAATAAATTAAACAGAATTGCCTTCGTCCTGTTGCTAGTAAATTGTTAAGTACTCGTTGGAAAGATGGAGGAGCATTTTTGAGACCTTGAGGGAGTACGTTAAATTCCCAAAGGCCTCTACTAGTGGTAAAAGCCGCTTTCGGTTTGTCCTTTTCATCGATCGGGAGTTGGAAATAGCCACTTTTTAGGTCCATTTTTGAAAAATACGATGATCCACCAAGTTGATTAATTGTCTCTTCCATGTGTGGTAAAGGATATGAATCTTTCATTGTTATTCGGTTTAGACGTCGATAATCGACGCAGAATCTGTATTTGCCATCTTTTTTTTCTTGACAAGCAACACAGGAGACGACCACGCTGATTGTGACGGTCGAATTAAACCAGATGTACACATAGAATCTATTTCATTATCAATAATTTTTTGTTTCCACAGTTCACTCGATATGGTTTAGAATTTACTGGATTACTATTAACATTTGTTGGTATTGTATGATAGATATGTGTTTTGCAATTTTTGGTTTAGACGTATCAAATAATGAATTATGTTGGTAAAGAATAGGTGGTAATTAATTGTTTTTGCTGTTGATTAAGATGATATGTCATTTCATCAATCGTATTTTTCACTTGAATGGACTTCGGTACATCTTCATCATTATCTGTGGATTGTTGTGATAATAAAGATGTGGATGTTAATGGTGAAATAGAAAAACAATTTGAATAAGGTGATTCAATTTCAATAGTTCCAATTGGAGTATTCTTATGAATTATTCGTGGTCGATGTAATTACAATATTTGTAATCGTCATTAGTGCTTAATAATTTTTCACGTGAAGTAATGCATGTGCCATTAGTATAGAATCTTGATATCAATAAATGCGAAAACCTCGGATTTAAATCCGAGTGTTATGTGTACTTCAAAAAGTGAAAAGGTATATTCACTTTTTTTTCTATAAGACATAGATCTCATCAAGATAATCCCTTGTCACTAAATTGCAAGGAGAAAATACAGGCGTGCTAAGTTAGCATGGACCACACTGTATGCGACCATATCCGGTGACCACTGACTCTACTCTTAGAGTGATATAATATCTTTAGAAATCACAGAAATTAAGTTCAGATTCGTGTTTAGCTTGGAAAACTGGGCAAGAAGAGTTATTTTTGAATGGATTTGCGCTTGTATCTAGCGGAATTACGATCGTAAGGAACCTCATGAATCTATAAGAGATATATGATAGATACAGGCATCAGTATTCTCCTAATAAATCACCAATATTAATAGCTATCGAGTTCGGATTTTTACCTTTCGATAGTCCTTTTGACTAGCTACAAAACCAGGCATTTGAGAAACCCCAAAACTACTGGTCATCTGAAATATATTTAGCCAATTTGGTTTCTGGATGCAGTTTTTGTGCATTTTGAGACCTTTTTCAGGCGATATTTTGTTGGAAAGCTACGATTTGGTTCAAAATTAATATCAGATTCGGAATCAGCGTTAAAAACTGAGTCGATTTATATGTGTTGTGAATAATTCTAAGAAAAATTGTTTTTTTGAAAAATCCCTGTACACCCCCTCAGGGTTGGATTGGTCAATAATGACAATTTTTTCGATAACTCAACCATTTCTTGGCGGATCCTTCTCATCTTCGAACTCGACTGAGACATTAATGAGGCTGAACTGTGTAGAAAATGTCATCATGATCTAACTCTCCTTTCGAGAGTTATCGTGTAAACGGACGGCCGGACGGACACACTGACCGATTCTAGAGTGTACTCACTTTTTTGAGTACACAAAAATGAGCTGTTGGAATAAATTGTGCTGTGTCACAATTAGGTAGATTAGAAATTTTAACTTCAATATTTTTTTCTTCCATTGGACTCAATGTAAATGCATCGCATATGCGAATAAAATGATGTTGATTCATATTGATTTCTAAAAGAGGTATGGATGATTTTTTTTCATTAAAAGATATAGAGAGTAAATTTGTATCGAAGTCGATACTAGCTTTGTGAAGACCAGCCGCCAACCAATCGAGCCCTAATATGATTCCAGTGCATAAGTTTTCTAAAACCCATAATTTTGCTGTTGTTGGGATTGAACCTATTTCGATTTGCAATTCGATATATCCTTCGGAACACATTGGAGTATTGTGGGCTACTAAAATTGATTTGTTTTCAAATGTGAATAGATGAAAAATGTTTTGAAATTTATTGTCGAATAAATGTTTGCTAATAAATGAATGCGATGCACCAGTGTCGACTTAGATTGTATATAATCGACCTGCAATTGGTGCTGAAATATATTATGATTGAGATGCACTTTTCCTGGAGACACAACTATCACCTTGTGTCCCCGCTAATATTTTTTGAATTATTATATGTTGATGCTCGTGTTGAATATGGCATCGTTGATGCTTCTTGACTTAGTTGACTTAGTTGACTTAGTTGACGTTGATTGGAATATTGATCATAACTATTTCTTGATTCATAGAATTGATTTGATCGATAGTTTTATCGATTTCGTGTTTGTCGTGGTTGATATTAATATGGATAATTATTTCGACGACGATGTTGATTATAATTATTGTAATGTGATGATGATGCGTAACAATGACTATCAACTTCCAATGGTTGATCAACAATTGATGAATAAGAGGGCGATTCGAGGTGGTCTTCATTTTTATTTCCAATATTAAGCATTAATTTAATGTCTTCCATGGGTTTCACTATATTTCTTAGCTCATACATGGATTGTGGTTGCTTATCAAATACTTTTTCTTTCAGTGATGGTTTCAGACCAGCTTTGATATGCAACATTTTCTCTTGTTCCATCATGGAAGAATTCACCTAAAAACAAAGTTTTTCCATGGCACCAATAAATTGCTGACCGGTTTCTTTAGGTTGCTGTGTTCGTTCTCAAAGACGGATAAATTTTTGATCTGTATGCAAAGATGATTGAAATCGATTTTTGATTTCCATTGTGAAAGTTTGCCATGATAAAAGTCGATGTTTGTTTTGCTCGAACCAACTTTTAACATCATTGGTTACACTTTTCGGAATAAGTTTCAATTTGATTTCGTCACTGACCAGTGTAGAAGAAAAATCCTGTCCAATATTCTGTAACCATTCGTCAACATCATCATATTTATTGCCAGAATATTTTCGAATATTATTAATTTTTTCTTTAATAAATTGTTGTTCGATGAAGTTATCATATTTAAATGAATTATTTCCAAGTGATTTCTGAAGTGGTTGTGGTTCCACAGATGATAAAGGTGAATTTGAATTAATATTAGGATTATTATACACGGCAGAATGTGATGCATGTCCATGATGTTGTTGATGAAATTCCTCATGCATTAATTCTTCAATATGTATCTGTTGTTGAAGTAAAAGTTGGCGTTGACCTTCGATAACTTTCTGTGTTTGACCTAACTCGGCAGCAAACGTTTCACGTAATTGTTGTAGTAGAGTATTTCACGGCGATGATCCATCGTCAGTTTTGATATTGCCAATTGTTTCTTGGATTGGAGAATGTATTAAACATTTATTTTCTACATCGTGGGATTGTTGATGGTCTTTATCAGTATTATATATAAGTGATAATGAATCAATATTTGTAGTTAATTGTTCCATATTATCTCTTTGTTGTACTAAGTCAATTACGTTGGAATCAGTACTTTCTGTATGTGTCTGTGAACGAGTACGTAAAGCGATAGGATTATCGATTGATTGTTCCACGACAACGAATGTTGACCAGTGATAAGAGTATTGTCGGGTCTGTTCGCTTGATCGAGAGTTGCTATTCAATAAGCGTGGCTAGTGCACCAATTGTTACAGTTTATCAAGGTCAAGTAAACTGTCTTTATTTTCGTTTTCTTTTATTAAAGAACAATAATAATTCTCTCTCTCTTTTTACTCCAGAGTGCTCTTGTATATATATATATATATGTGCGTGTGTGTGTGTGTGTGTGTGAGTAGAAGAAAAACAAGATCAAAGAAGAAAGGAGAAGGAAAGAAAAGAAAGTATATGTATGATAGTAAAGAAAGAAAATACATATATCAACCATGTACTACATCTAGCGAACAAGAATATAATTGTTCGCTTACAGTACCACTTTTCCAAATCTATCTCGAACGGTAATTACAACTTTGCCATGCTCTGCCTTACACTTGAATTGTTGTTGTTGATAGGGTGCTTTTACACCAGATCATGTTTATACGCCAGCTGATGTCAGCGATGTAATTGAACATGCTCGACTACGTGGGATTCGTGGCATTCCTGAGGTTTCTCCATTCTCATTATTTATCTTTTATGGACTTTACATTTTATTCATTGTTAACTAATAGATTGATACACCCGGTCATACGTATTCATGGCGTAAAGCGATGCCTGAACTCATAACTGTTTGTTGGGCTAATGGGAAACCTAATCAAGCAATATACGGAAATCACAGTGAAATGGAAATATTTAATCCTATCTAGCCACGAGTTTACTCAACAATGGATTCTTTAGTCCGAGAAGTAAAAAGTCGATTTCCTTTGAATTTCATTCATCTTGGTAAGTAACCTAATCCTCATTTAAGAATAGTATATTTTCTAATTTTCGTCCAATCCTTCAGGTATGGACGAAGTGTACGACAAATGTTGGTAATTAATTCACGAAATGTTCGTACCGATGAGAGTAATAATATCTACTATTAATTTCAACAGTGTCCAAGGACTGAGAAATAGGAATTCCGAATGTGCCAAGGAATTGTCAGTGTCGCTGTGATAATTCCTAGAGGAAATGGAAATCAACTATCGGTACCTTCACCCCATGTAACTTTTTTTCGAGGCGAAACGCGTCTCTGAGCGTTTGTGAACGATGGCACTGCACGCACCAGGACGCATCTAGAATGCAATATTTTTGCGGGTGCAGATGCATCCAGGGTAACCTGATGCGTATACACTCGTTCAGTATCTAAACGTATCGTAAGTCGTTTGCATTGGAAGACGCGTTAGAGAATACATCCTATTCCGCAATGTTGAACATTCCGGAACCAGTTCCGCTCACGGAATCAATTCCATCTAATTCCCGGAATTCCGTTTATCCCTTCCAACACAATTTCGGAATTGGACTGAACTCCGTGGAATTCCGGGAATCGGATGAACTAATTCCGGAATCGACGGAACTGACTCCGGGGGCGGAACCGGTTCCGAAATGTTCAACATTGCGTATTAGGATGACTGCTCTATTAAGCTATGATATAACACCCACATACCATGAGCAACAGAGTGGCAATTTTTCCAACGATAGCGTGAACCAAGATTTGAACCCATGAACATTTGATTACAAGCCGAACATAACTTGAGGATGTGTGGGTGTGGATGTTTTCCGGTTACAGATTCACCCACACCCATCAAAGAACATTTTTGTACAGTTTTTATTTTAAAAGTAATTGAAAGTAAAAACATAATATGCATTTAATTTATTTAGTTATTTACGACAGTGATGATGAAAATTCTAACGGTAATGTCAAGATAATGATCTATCGTGCGCGCAACAGAAAGTACTTCCGAGTTTAAGGAAACAGAAGCATACAGTTGTATTTATAGCCTAATATTTTCAATAAAAACTTTCGAATAGAAATGCATTATCACAGAAATACTTATTTGATTCAATCCTCAATATATAAACGAAGACCGAATTTTAGAATTCAAAAAACAAAATATCATGGATATCATCTAAGTATTCAATAAAACTAAATAAATTTCTTTCTTACTTAACTGAATCAATAAGGGACTTTTTTGCCGCTAATTAACAGTTTCTAAAGATGAAGTATAACACAAAGAGTTTGCTCCTAGTGCTATATGGCATTTTAACTACTGCAAACTCCGTTGTACTCAAGCCTATTTTTGTATAAATGCAGATTTCGATAGCTATCATGCTTAGGCATGAATCAAAATCAAAATTGTTTTGAAGTTTTGGTTTTAGTTCGGAAATATAATCCTTTTCGACGTATTTCAAAACGACAGCGAAAACCTGAAAGCCAAAAATATTAGATTTGCTGCACGTCTGACCCCTCTTCATTGACAGTACCTACTATATAACTATGAATTCAGTTGTGTTTCGGAAATCAGTGTAATGAAACGCGTTTTATCTACTTCCTCGATTTTACTGTGTTTATTGGATAGCAAATAAATTGCGTTTCAACTGTGGAACAACATCTAACGCAAGAAAAGACACAGATTGCCTTCACACGCGTTTTAAAATAGGATTTTAACGCGTTTCTTTACGTTTGCTCTGATTAACGCTAACAAACTCGTCGAAGTTCTTTAAA